CTTAACACTAATTAAAGATGTTTAAGTTTCTAAGATGCTGATTGTTAATATGAAAAGTAAGTTCATATTTTCATAACCATATATTCACTCAAGAGGTTAAAGTCAAATCAATATCCTAAAATCAAAAAGAGTAATAAATTATTTTAATCATGTAGAATGAGATTTATTTTTATTTATTAATATCTACTTATATTTGATTCTTTATTAAAGATTTTTAAATATATTTTAAAATACTTTCCCTTGATTATTTTTATGATTCTAGAATTAATAAATAAATATCTTACCTAAAATTGAAGTTTATGATATAAATAATTTTTAAATGTTAGTAAAAGATTATTTTGAATTCTATCATATATTTTATATCATTTTTTAGTACACAGATGGATTTGATAACATAAATAAGATTTTTATTTTTTGTATGTGATTAATTTACTAATTAAAATTTACACATATTTATGTTTATTTCGTTTTATAAAATATAATGAATGTTATGGATTTGTTGAGAGATAGAGCATAAGATATTCGATTGTTATAACATAGGCAAATATCTATAAGATAAATAAGTATCTAATTATTTGATTTTCTGAGTATAGGGAGAATATCAGACAAATAGTTGAAACTGATTATATAAATTAACTAATTCAAATGAAAAGGTTAAATAAAAATGATCTCATGATGTTATAAGAAACCTTTAAATTCATAGTTAGAATTATTGCACTCGATTTTGAAGTTCTTTTTATTTTAAATAAAATAGATCAATAATCTAGAACCAAATTTAACTTCAACAGCTAAGAACATTATCGAACTATATCAATATTTTGGATTATAATTCAAGTCTGAATTGAATGAAAAGCATAATTAAAGCAAATGGTCAATTTTTTTGATCTTAGTTGAGCATCTAATTGAAATTACAAAAATGGTTTTAGAATTCACTATAAAACGATAAACTAATCTAAAGTTATTTTGTTTAGGAAAGGAAATTGGAGAAAAAATTACAATCTATAACAAAAAAATACCTGAATTTAAAAGAGTGTAACGAAGTGAATCAAATCATTAGGATTATGTATAGTAATCAAAGTAATCAATTTAATAATTCGAAAAATAACAAATTTATGATTCTCTTCCTAAAACACAAAGATTGATTGAAGAAATTTAGAATAATTCTCGAGAAATTTCTGTAATACGAAATTTTCATTAAAGAAAAACTGAAATAATCTAAAATAAACTACTTCCGTGTATGAATTAAATGAAATCTCATCAGCTCAGTTTATACAGATAGCTAAAGTAAAGAAATTCAAGCATACATAATTCTATTTAAACATACATAAAACAAATTTATGATAAAAACACATTTGTTGAATGATTTAAATACCATATTTTATAACTCTCATAAAAACATCCTCTAATTTGCTTAGCATATTCCCAAATCTTAAATTTTATTCTTTTCTTAATCGACTTTATAAATTAAGTATTCATTAAGTTCTTGATTCCAATCTATTATATATTATAAAATTTCTCTTGCATAGCAAATTTAATTTAAAAAAGAATAAAAAGTTAAATTTTAAAGAAAGAATATTTAAACAATACCAAGAACATCAACTTCATCTATTGAATCGATAACTAAATCATAGTATTCTTGCTTTTAATTATGATATATAATATCACTAAGTTATTTTATATATTCAGAATATCATCCATTTAGGATTAATCTAAATATATTAAATTGATAAATCTTCACTTAATCTAAACTCGCACAATTAATTAAGCCAGATTTCAAGAATAGTTCAGCATGAAAAATTTTGCTCAGTCTTATCATATTCTACTTACTACATTTTTATTAATAAAAAAAAATTTATAAAAATATGAAGAAATAAATCAATTATTTCTTTTCTAAAACCGGATAGATTGATAAAATTTAATTTTTATTTAGAGAAACATCATTAAATATCAATAAATTAATATGTCTCGCTTATAGAAAGTATATTGATTACTTATTTTTATAATTTAACAAAAATTAAATCATCATATGAAGGCTTCAAATTTAAATTATTAAATCTAAATAGAACCTAAAACAGAATAAGTATGGAAACATCTTTCAATTAAATAAATCGATTTAGATATATTTAATGCTAATACAAAAAGATTTATAATTTAACCTTCGATATTGAAATGAAAAAAAGAAATAACAAATTAATTCATATGATATATCTGTGAAAAGTAGAATGAAGAATCTAAAATATAATAAATTACAATTCTCTTCGAGATCCTGCTATTCTATTTAAATAAAGTGATTGAATTAATAAAGCAAGAATTCTTTTTTTTAAAGTAGTTCAAAATTATCGATTCTGTAATAATTGAGAAAGAAATTGATCCTGTTTAAAAAATTAATAATCAAAAATATGTGTCTTACTTAAAATATATAAAGAATTAGGAAAAAAAGTCTCAAAGAATATAAATACAGAGAAAGATATTAAAGATTTAAAATACATGATAAATTCATTCTTTTTAAAAATTCTTGATTAGTTTTATAATAAAAAAAATTAAATGAGTACAATTGATTCAGTAGAGTCTTTTGATTGGATTCATGAAATTGGAAGCAGTGAACAAAGATTAATAGAAAGAAGAATAGTACTTTACCTTTAAGGTTTGGGCTTATAATATCGCACAGAATCGACAAAGAAGTAGGACCAGTATTTTTAAAAGAATTTCTCATTTAATATCAATCTAAACTAGTTACAGAAGAAAAGACAGTGATTAATCAACTTTGAAAATGATTTACTCTATTTCTATATAATAAAATATAAAATGTAAACATATCACTTTCTTGTTACTCTGAGTATTGATAAACTAAACTAAAAACTATAATTATTGAAAATATTCCAAGATAATAACATAGCAAATTGTAGTAATAATCAAAATGAATTAGCTTTGTACATTGTTAATGAAAAGAATATAAATAAGTTATCGAAGTCTTATAATAACAAAGAATGAGGAGTATTTCATTAAATTTCCAAAAAATATAAACTAAATTACAATCTCTAGTATAAATATTCTCTAAAATGGATAATATTAGAAAAAAGAGAAGATAATGAAAAAGAAAGAAATTAATAAATTATTGAATGCATTGAAATTTGAAGCTGAAAGGTAATAAAAAGACTTTATAAATGAATCAATTTTAGATCATAGTTTTATATAACTTATTTAAGAGAAGATTGTAGAATTTCATGAAGTAAGAAATATATTCAATGAAGAATAAAGTAGCAAAAAAGCATAATAAAGATTAATTGATCGCTAAAAATTAAAGGTCTGCTTAAATGTAGTAATAAATTTAATTTGTACTTCTATAAGATGATAATAAAAAAAGAGCATAGACAATCTATAAAAAATTAATAAACACTTCAGTCTCTAAATACAAGTCTACATTAAATGATAAATAAGAATAAAGAATAAATCAAATTATGAATACTAAGTTTTTATTATGAATTCTTAATCATTCAATAATGTGATCACTGCCATTTCTAGATTTTTTATTAATCTCGTCGAAAGAAGGAAAGTAATTAGATCCTAAACTTTAATCGAAACTTGTTTAACTCCCTCTAATAACTTAGATCTTGACATCGCCAATATTGTCATTAGAATTAGTTATCTACATAGGTTTAATATGTGGAAAAGTTCTAACTATTTCATGTGGACTCTCATCCGCAACTCCTAAATCTCCTATACAGAAATTATATTTTGATATACCTTATATGGATTCTTCAAAAAATGGATGTAAAAGTGCTTATTCTGGAGAAATTCTTTTATTTGGATCTTTTTATAACATTTATTTTAACAAATCCAAAATTTCGTTAGAACAGTTCCTGAGATGATTATTACACTTAAATCTTTTATTATTTTCAAGAATTTCATCACTATTATTTCCACTAAATAATGATTTTCTACTTAAAAGTTTATAAAATATTGCACCTAAACTAAACATATCAACTTTAGTAGTATATGGATATTTATCTATAAACATCTCTGGAGCAATATAACCAGGAGTTCCACATAATTAACGTTGAGGTGTTGATAAAGGTATAGCCAATCCAAAATCTATAATTTTAACTGTTTCTACTTTGTTAGATTCTAGGAGCACTAAATTTTCTAATTTCAAATCTCTATGAATAATATTAAGTAGATTTAAATAACATAATGCTTTGAGGCATCTCTAATGATTTATAATTTTAATACACTCATAACAGCCTTTATTTAAAAAATGTTTAATTATGACTTTTTTGTGAATGAATGCAATGTTTCACCTTTTAGCAATTCCATTAAGATATAATAAGACTTATCTCCTTCATATAGATCAACCATTTTAACAATTGAATCATGCTCGATTAATCTCATTAATTCAATTTCTTGGAGCAGACGATTCTTTTTTTTTATTTAAATCTCATACATATCTTTCTTTATCCTGTCTTTTAAATACATAATCTTTTCTAATGCATTTTGAGGCAAACTCGTAATGTGTAATTTTATTAACAACCTTATATACTTTACATGATGCTCCAGAGCCAAGTAATTCTTTACTCTCATAAATTGCTGATATATTTCCAAAAAAAATGCGAGTATGTAATTCTCTATACAAAGCTTATAGGTCAGGCTTTTGAGCATGAAACCATTTGAGTTCTTTATTATATTTGATTCCAAATGCAATCAACTAATTTTATTCAGTTTTCCAAAAAACTAAATTTTGGAATGTCAAATCAAGGATGTACTTAGATTATTGAAAGTTTACTGACTCTTTTAGTGTGAATGTTTTCTTACTTCTGATATTTATATGCGATCATCATCAATTAAAAGATAATATTGTTTATCTTTTAGGAAATGCTTACGTTAACATCTAATTTAAAAGGAATTTTGGTCCATTTATTATAACATATATATTAATAGATAATTTTTGAGATTATGATTGCAATAAGTCATTTATTTAAAAACATTTATAATGTATAAATATATTAGGTATGATATTAAGAAAGTGTTGATGTAAATATGAGATTCTTAATGAGAGATTCAAATAATGAAATATTTATTTGATTTAAATAGTAAGAGAAGTATTTGAATATTATCTAATAGTTTGAAATATTATTAATATAATATTAGGTATAAAAGTAAATATATATTTAGAGGATAAAATAAAGTTTGAAGAATAATATTTATGTACTTTTTTATTGATTATATGTCACTTGTTCAGCCAATTAAATAGCTTAATTCATAGTCAGCTTTCAACGATTGATCAACAACAGTTTTATTGTTTTTATGATATTCTTCAATATCTACTAATTTATCTCCAACAACTTAATCAAAGCCAGTATTTTCTAAANGAGTTCCACATAATTAACGTTGAGGTGTTGATAAAGGTATAGCCAATCCAAAATCTATAATTTTAACTGTTTCTACTTTGTTAGATTCTAGGAGCACTAAATTTTCTAATTTCAAATCTCTATGAATAATATTAAGTAGATTTAAATAACATAATGCTTTGAGGCATCTCTAATGATTTATAATTTTAATACACTCATAACAGCCTTTATTTAAAAAATGTTTAATTATGACTTTTTTGTGAATGAATGCAATGTTTCACCTTTTAGCAATTCCATTAAGATATAATAAGACTTATCTCCTTCATATAGATCAACCATTTTAACAATTGAATCATGCTCGATTAATCTCATTAATTCAATTTCTTGGAGCAGACGATTCTTTTTTTTTATTTAAATCTCATACATATCTTTCTTTATCCTGTCTTTTAAATACATAATCTTTTCTAATGCATTTTGAGGCAAACTCGTAATGTGTAATTTTATTAACAACCTTATATACTTTACATGATGCTCCAGAGCCAAGTAATTCTTTACTCTCATAAATTGCTGATATATTTCCAAAAAAAATGCGAGTATGTAATTCTCTATACAAAGCTTATAGGTCAGGCTTTTGAGCATGAAACCATTTGAGTTCTTTATTATATTTGATTCCAAATGCAATCAACTAATTTTATTCAGTTTTCCAAAAAACTAAATTTTGGAATGTCAAATCAAGGATGTACTTAGATTATTGAAAGTTTACTGACTCTTTTAGTGTGAATGTTTTCTTACTTCTGATATTTATATGCGATCATCATCAATTAAAAGATAATATTGTTTATCTTTTAGGAAATGCTTACGTTAACATCTAATTTAAAAGGAATTTTGGTCCATTTATTATAACATATATATTAATAGATAATTTTTGAGATTATGATTGCAATAAGTCATTTATTTAAAAACATTTATAATGTATAAATATATTAGGTATGATATTAAGAAAGTGTTGATGTAAATATGAGATTCTTAATGAGAGATTCAAATAATGAAATATTTATTTGATTTAAATAGTAAGAGAAGTATTTGAATATTATCTAATAGTTTGAAATATTATTAATATAATATTAGGTATAAAAGTAAATATATATTTAGAGGATAAAATAAAGTTTGAAGAATAATATTTATGTACTTTTTTATTGATTATATGTCACTTGTTCAGCCAATTAAATAGCTTAATTCATAGTCAGCTTTCAACGATTGATCAACAACAGTTTTATTGTTTTTATGATATTCTTCAATATCTACTAATTTATCTCCAACAACTTAATCAAAGCCAGTATTTTCTAAAGCTTTATAATTGGCAATCAATTAGGTTAAATTAATATATGAAGGACAATATAATTGTTATCCAATAATACAATTGTTGGTTGGATGAATAATCTAAGGAATAAAAAAAGAGATAAAATACTTTTTCAATAAAAGAACTATTAAGTTTAGCTTTATAATTATTTCCAAGACTATCTTCAATTAAATGAACAATAGATTTAAAATCAATATGTTTATGTCCTTTAGCTAATAGTAATTTACCAGCATGATCTCCAGCAAGTACTTTAGCAACAATAGCATCTAAATCTCCAGTAAAGATAGGTGCACATGATTATCCAGTACTTTTGAAATAAATGCTTTATCCATTATAAATTCTTTAAGCAATTTTATTAGTGAATGTACTTTAAGGTCCAAATGTAATATCAGATCTGATCCCGACTAATTAAGGTATATAACGACGTCCTTCAACTTCTAAATGTTTCCATTCATCAATCTCTTCTTAATGATCATGTTCAACTGGAGCAACATAAGCTACAGTCTTGTAGTTTCTACTCTTAGCCAAATCTAGTGTAGCAACTAATAAATTCTTCTTTGAAGCTGTAACTTAGTAATAATCATGGCTCACATATAAGAGATTATTAGCTTATTTAATTACATCATGTAAATCTTAACGATCATTGAATTTGAACAACTCTATATTCGTTGAGAATTATTGCTTGAATTTAAGTAATCTTTGAACAGTGAAATAAGTAGGGAAGATATCACCACAAATGATCTTCTCATACTTACCACTTTCAGCAGCTACTTTTAGAAATCCTTATGCAATTCTATTGCTTGCATTTAGAATCAGAAGAGACATATCAAATAAATAATTATATTTAGGATTTAATATCTAAGTAAAATTTATATATATACATATAATTTATATCAAAGTCTTCCAGCCTTTCTTCTACCTATTAAATAACATTTAAATTCATCAACAAGTTTAGTTAATTATTATGTTTCTCTTTATTTCTATAATTTTTACTCTCATTAAATTTTGAATTATTTCTATCGAAAATCAAAACTTTCCAAATTATTAACTTTTTTTGGTGTATGCTAAACATTCAATAAAGTTTATTGACTAATCAATTAATATATTATACATTTATCTAATGAAAGAATCATCGTCTAAATAACAATCACAATCATTTTTAGGACCTATCTTCATTTAAACTGTGTTCTATTCAATACTTAACATAGATTTTCTTTTATTGTTATTCCTTCTATCCATCTCTTCTATTACTTTTTATACTATTATCTCAACATATCTATCTTAATCATTGCTCCATTAAAAATTAGAATTTGAACAAACACTTACAGTCTTTGATATTTTTAAATAAGGTTATTTATTCTCTTTTTATTACTCATCTGCCAATCTCATTGTCACTTACTTTCTATTTATTTCATCTTATCTTTCTATCAATATTGAGGAGTTGCTTTCCTCTGTACTTGTCTATTTGTCTTATTTCTATTCATTTTAACAATTATTAAATTATTCTATGAATCTTCTTACTTCTGGACTAACAGAATCCCTAAAATGTTTCATATCAGTTAATAATTTGTTATTAAATTATAAAATACTAGCACAATTCATTTCAATTTATTTACCAGTATTATATAAACATTCTTCACCTTATGATCTTTCTCTAACAATCCTTAATCCTTCTTTATTTTATTTTTATCACTTTTATTTATTTAGTAATTAAAAACTATTTTATTTTATTTAGTATTAGTTCTTATTTGATATTCCAATATAATTTATCTCATCTCTTTTATTCCATTTAAATCTATTCATTCTATCATTTTTGCACAATCTTTCAAATTTCTTAATACTTATATAAATTATATAAATTATATAACAAGAATAACTCTGAATTTTTAATAACTAAAGTTGATTCTTATTAACTTAATTTATTTTAAAATAAATTTTAAATCCTCTAATAAATTAGATACAATATAAATATATAGGAATTATCAATTTTTTATTTCTTTTATCAATTAAGATTAAATTCTACTTGAAGCTTAATAAATTATATAATATAATTAATTAAATTATTCCCATCCACTTATATAGTGAATTCAAATTTTTAAGATATTGAATTATTTGAAAAGATTGACTCTTAATTTATACTACAATATGAGTTTCAAATATATTAAAAAATATCTTCTAACTCTTGATTCTACTAAACTTTCTTCATTTTGTAATTATAGAATAGTAAGGAAATTATTTCATATCGAAGAGAGAAAAAAAAGAAAGATAATATTTATATTAATGTTTAATTAGAGAGATTGCCATAAGCAATCATATAAATTGAATTAACAAATCTAAAATTATGATATCTAATAACTATACACAGAATTATTAATTAGATTAATTTTATCACCACAATTAATTTTTGAATGTAACTCTTTTTTTCTAGGTTATTGATCTCCTATTTTAGACAGAGAGATTTAATGTTAATTTGATACAGATAGAAATTTATGTGAATTCCATATAGATTAGAATTGATTTGAAATGTAAAATAATGAATAACAATTTCAATAAGAAATTAAATATATCATTATAGCAACCTTCATTATAAATCCAAAATTATTTGGAGAAGGTGGATCAGGTTATGGTTAATCACACTTTTAACAAGACTTTATTTCAGGGTTCCATTAATAAGAAAATTTGGTATTAGTGAAACAGGTGAATTCATCTAAATCTTTGGGTAGAGCATCATCACAAACACCATCTTCCCATTTACATAATTAAACTTTTTAAGGATTATCAAAAGTATCATATTCATAAACAGATTTACATCTACTTTTATCTGGGAGATCTTAACATTTCTTTTAGACACATTTTTAACTAGATGTTATTTGACAAGAATGACTATTTTGAATACTACATTTCATAAATTAGAATTCCTCTTTTATTAAGTCAATATCACTGCATTATTTTATAACTTAACATTTGCTTTCAAAAAATCCACATTCTCCTTCAAAACCATATGAGTCATTACAGATTGATTCATCATATAAGGAACAACTTGGAATTTATTTTTTTTAACATTTTTTTCCATCTATTGAAGTA